ATATTTGGGGTAAAATATCAAGTCTTTTCAAGTAAACCGGTTCAAGTCCAATTCAAGTCCCAAGTCATTGGTGTAAAAGTCCAAGTCAAGTCACAAGTCTTAGAACATTTTTTCAAGTCAAGTCTAAAGTCATAAAATTAATGACTCGAGTCCAAGTCATGTGACTCGAGTCCACACCTCTGGTTATATTAGTGTTAGATGAACATCTGTACAGACATGATGTTCCTGGAATACATACCTGATTAATTTTAGCAGCTGAAAGCGCTCAGACTGCAGCTTTAAAAACTAACACAGAAACTTGAGAAGTCTGCAGTCATTTCAGATCTACAGACCAGAATGTAATGCTGGTCATCACACTGAACCTTTCTGGTAAGACGCTGCCACCGTGTGGTGAAGGTGTTCGTTGCATATTTGCAGAGGTGTTTACAGAGAGCAACTGTGGATGTGGGTGTGTTTACAGCTGTGAGTGTTCAGAGAGAAATCCAGAGTATCTCTGAGAGGAAGCAGGGCACTTCTGAAGTAAGAGGGCCGGCTGCTGCAGAAGGTCACTCACACATCAGTGTGGTGACAGTAGTTTTCTCCTAATTTAGAAATCTGAGTTTGTGCACAACCCACAGGAGAAAAGAGAGGAAGACACAGAGAGCAGGAAGCTGTCCAGGCTTTACTTCCTCCCAGCATCAACAAATGAGTTTTCTGGTTGTGCTGGAGACCTTTGTTTACCCCGCTGGGAGTCAGAGAGAAACACCATGTTGGAAAGTTACAGAGAAGCAGCTGAATCATGTTTCTGTCTGCAGCCTGAAGCCTGCAGAAGATCTCTGAAGAATAAATATTATCAGATTCATACAACACATCTTCTACTGAGCAAAGCTTTTATGTTCTCTCATGCACATCATCAGTCACTCAGCTTCTGTCTGCAGAAACCATCAGCATCACATACATGAACTTATGATCTGTGCAAATTAGAGTTGATGCTTCAAACTGAACCTGAAGAAACTTTGGGAAAGCTCATTTTACACCTACATATTCACACCACTTGTGCTCACTTACCTTTAACCGGTAAATAAAACACCCTTGGCTCAATTTATGTTGGGATAATCTGTCAGAGATCATGAAAATCCTGCTGACCACATCAGTGTCAGCTGTGAGGATGCAGTTCAAATTTGACATTTACACAAAGTTTGGATAGATTTTGATTGATTGGGAAATGAGTGGCTGCAGACACCCTGACGTTCTTCCACAGATTCTTGAAGGATTTAAAGACACTTGTTGCTGCACAGATGTGTCATCTAAATGGAGGTGATGCTCAAAGTGTTCATCCAAATTTTTAAAGGTTCACACAGCTCACGGAGCTCAGCTGGCTGCTCACCGGGTCATATTGCCCTTTGGTGGTGTTCTTCTCCAATACAGCGTTCCCCACCCCCGGGTGTGAAATTGATGGTTTTCAGGGTTTTATCGGTAACTCAGTTTTCCTGCATCTTTTCCCGCTTTGTAGTTGTGTCTAATTTTTGAAAGAAATATTTAAGAGTTACCATAGCTACCAGAGAGCATTAAGGGGCAGAGAGGAGGATATTACTCTCAATGTTGTTGTCGCATTTCAGGAGGACGCTGCTAATAAAGTTACACAATTACACAGTGAATTCGCGTTTATTATGATATTTACAAAATACCACAGTTTTTGTCTTGGTTTTTTCCATTTTATTTTGTTGTTCTTATCCGCGACACCTTAAAGGTCGGTCCGTGAAAATATTGTCTGACATTAAACCGCTCCGTGGCACAAAAAATGTTGGGGACCGCTGTCAATCTGAAAATCATGTTATCCGGATAAATTAATATGATTATTCTTCCCCAAACCCACAAACCTAATTTAGTGTTGGTGTCTGTCTTGCAGTTTCTGTGTAATAGTTCCTGAGACTGACATTAATCAGGATTACATTACAATGTAAACATGGACAAACCAGGCCAAGAGGCAAGTGATCAGTCAAGTGATCTTGCATTTAGCCAGTAGGGGTGCTATTTTTATAACTTACGTTGAAGCTTGACACACGCCTTTTTCACTTTTTGCTGTTTATGTGCACTGCTTCATCAGCTGCTCATCACACAAGCCAACACTTTGTTTGCAAGCAGAAGTTATTAAAAAGGACAGCTTGTGTCCAAATATTGACATCTTTGATATTTTGATATTTTCTTCACTGAAGTGACTTTCTGAATGCAGAAGATATGATTTGCTCACATTAGTTACCTTGTTAGTTTGGTTCTGGGTGTTTTGTTGGATTATCAGACTCAGTTTTCGTGGACGTCAAAGGCTGAGATAAACATGAGCAGATGAAGGACGGCAGCAAATGGGATCTGAATCTTTGCAGCTTCTGTTTTCATGTTCACATCTAATCCTCCTGCAAGTTTGTTTTAGTGACCATGGTGGTGAGCCTGTGTTTGTGTTCCCACTTACAGTTGATCGCTCACAAACCTATGTGTGTTCACAAACAAAAAACCAGGCTTGCTAGAATTCGAGCAGTGAAGAGTGGAGGTGCTAACGCTTATTTGCAGTACAAATGCAGCCGGCTGATTATTGACCCTGAGGAGGAGGTAACCGTGGACATGCAGTGTTGGTCCGGTGGTGCTGATGTTTGTTCTCTTGGTTTCTCATCTTTTCTGTCTCATATCCAGCTGTGAGGAGCATGCTGAGGGCTGCTTTCATTGTGCTTTCATCTGTGTGTGTGTGTGTGTGTGCGCGCGCTTCAGCAGTGACATGTTTTTGGATCAATGTAATGATAAAGCTGTGCTCTCATTTCAAAACTCCAGCCTTTTACATTAGTTTCTCTTTACCTGCCAAACAAGAGCGCTGAAGGTTCAGGTGGTTCCAGCTCCCAGATACCTGACAAACAGCAAACTCTGATGGACCCTTTCTTCTTCGCTGTTAAAGTGATCCATCTCTAAGTTCACAGCTCAGCACAGATATGGTAGAAGACCTGACTGACTATGGCTACATCCTGATATCCCCACAACATGTCCACAAGACTCTGGAGGGTCTAGAATCTAAAGCGAGTAACATAGGCAGATACACCGTGACTCTTTGCAAAGCAAAAACCTACATTTCTTTGGTTTATTTTTGTGATCAATGAGGCCAAATTACAAGCAAAATTCGGATGACAGAAGCATCATTTTCTTTGTGGGGTTTTATACAGCACCACATATCAGTAGAATTAAAATAAAAAATGAAGATAAGAATCTAAGTCCAAGGACATTAAAACTGTACTTCAGTGAAGTACATAAGTAACTCTGCTGAGTTACATCTCACTGGTTCCATCCCTGCTGTTGGAATATAAGAGGGCTCTAGGCCATTGGCAGTGGTGGGAGGGGAACAAGCTATAACCTTCTAATTCCTCAAAACTCCAAACTTCCTCAACACAAGCAGAAAGTGACAGCCTTGTTACTTACCCTACATTTACCCTGCAAAGTCTGGACTTTCTCTGTAAAACAGTCTCATATCAGCACTAAATAGAGTAAAGGTAATATGATCTTTGGCTTTAGACCGGATGTTTCGAGATCATTTCTGATCCAGTGTCTGGACAGAGTTTGCTCTTCTTTTTTAAATGAAAGTGTTTTAGTGTGAATTTAGCCTGTGTTAGCTGGTCCTCATCTGGTCCTTGCTCATGTGTTTAGCTGACTGAAATGTTGATGCTGAAGTGTCCATGATGAATTCATCTTCATCCTGTTTCTATCACTGTCTGTCTGTAGCCTGTCTGTAGTGTTCTGTCTTTTCACATCCTTCTTAGCTTTGCTCACAGTCTGAAAACTAAAATACCCGTCAGTCACTAACTAACTCGCATGTGCATGATCTGGTCCTTTGCTGTGTGGGGGTGCCTTACCTGACCAACAGGAAGTTCTCTACACCTCCACCTCTCAGTGTCTCTCCTACTCTCTGCTCTGTCTTCTTCCTCTTTTGTTTTGTTCCTTTGACTTGAGCCCTACTATGCAGCTCTGCTGTTATGAGATGATTACCTGCGCGATTCATGACATCATCAGTAATAGTGTTGGACTTCATTGACTTGTGGAGGAATGAAATTGGGCTGAACTGCATGTCAATCGCCCAGCCAATCTGCATGCAACTGGGCAGAGTCAATGTAAAGCAAAACTTTGGAATGAAGTCTTGTTAATATTTCAAAAGCTGTGTTGCTTCTGCCCAGCATAGGGGCTCATGATTTTGACTCTTCCTTTGGCAGCAGCTGAGCTTCTGAGCTCCACGTGATTGGTTACTCTTCTGCCCACCTGGGTCACATTCAGTCTGAACTCCAGAGTTATACAAGCTCTGGAGGCTCTCTTGGGTTAAATGAGGCTGGAGTCAAACCACAGAAGTAAAACAAAAGCTGCTGAATGGCTGCTGTTGGTAGCCTTGGTTTGATCCAGTGAGTGATCCATCATTTTCACACTAACTTGAGAACAGGAAGGAATTGTGGCTAAGATGGAAATGCTGAGGTTTGGGAGATTTTGGTGGAAATATTAGCCTTGCTCAGGTGTTTCTCTGTAAATGATGGGGTCGCTGAGGTCATGTGTTTTGTGTTTATGTCTTGAAGGCATCCAAAGAAGCAGGACAGGCGCTGGTGTGTAAGGCCAACCCTAACTTCGAGGTGCATCATCATCATCTCTTGAACTGCCTGGAAAAGACCACGGTGAGGAGGCACACACACACACACACACACACACACACACACACACACACACACTTTATTTGACCAACTGATTAACAGTTTACTCCTTTACATGTTTTCCCAGATTTTATAGATTTAACACTTAAAAAATTGTCAATGAAACTTCTAAAACTTCAAAGAGCCTAAATTGAATCTAAATCATTATATTTTTAATTAATGAGAATGACTATCATTTACCTTACCTGGAGATTAATTTTTTTCCAATTTTTCAGCGGTAAACAAAAAATATTCAGTTTGATTGTTTACTGTTTGAATTTGGACATCTATCTAGTTCATAGCAGATTCTCCTTTACCTGCCATCCTGTAAAACTGCAGCTTTGCTTTTTTCTCAGAATCACGAGTTTGTAGATGAGAAGACGTATGAGGCGACCTGCAAGGATGTTACACTGCTGAAGCAGGTTTCTTGCTCTTCCTCCATCTCATCCTCTTCAACTCATGGCCTAAGCTCCTGCTGTGGCCGCAGGAAGAGGAAGACCTTCAACGTCCCAAACTCCAACATGTCTGTGGGTCTGCAGGGCAGTCTCCAGGAGCTGAGCACCATCCAGATCAGGGAGCGACCATTAACCAACAGGTATGTTAGACAGCACTGCAACTCTGTTTTTTACAGTCATACGGTTACATCCAACATTTACATCTCTTTGTTTACTTCTAGTCATATTTGATCTCCATAAAGAAATAAAATCACCCAGAAGACATGACTGTGAAAATTGCAGGGGGTCCTACTGACTTTAAGGATATTCCAGAAGGTTACAAAGGTTCTTATGAAGGGTCTTAAGTTCCTGATGAGCTTCCAGTATCTACGTGGACTTTGCAAAAGTCATTAAGAAAAAAAGAAAAATTCTTAAGAACATTTACAGCGCATGATCCTTGAAGAAAGCTCTACCAGGAGCTACCAGAGATTTCACAAGCCCTTTAACCTGATCGGCCCCGGGTACCGGGGGCAAAAGGAACGAGTTCACGTATAATTGGTTATAACACGGGGTCAGAAATATAAGTCCTGACGTGTGATATCCACAGAAACCTCTGAATCTCAGCTAAACTCTCATATAAACCATTTCTACAACCACCAAACACAACTAAAACAAGCCATGATTAAAAGAGCAGCTAGGTAAATGCCAAATGTCCGCTAAACAAACAAAACCGAACCAGAGATTCTTCAGACTTCATGTAACTGTAAGACCATGTAACACCAAGTTTCACCACACTCTGACCAAAATTCACTGAATGAGCCGCAAAAGAAGACCACAAAAACGCATAGCGGCGCAAATGCGCTAAGACAGAAATTGGCTTACCGTCCCGATTTCCTCCGTTACTTTCACCAGTAGCTGGTAGCCTCATGTTTATCAGCAGTTTCCACGGCTAACTAGCCAGATCAGAGCCATTTTCTGTCAACAACCTCCATTTTAGACCCACCTACAGACACGTGACTAGACAGACGCCACATGCAGTAAATTTGGGACCACGTGGGGTTTGGCCTTGTAACTTCTGAGTGGTTGAAGTAACGTGAGTGTGGCATCATTAATGTGATCCTATTGGCTCAAACGATTAAAAAGAGGTGTCAATTATGCAAATTGGCCAAAAGAAACCAAAGTTACAGCCCCATCAGAGTTTAAAGGGCCAGAGACGCTCCATGCTCACGGCAGAAAAGCGCCATTGCCATGTAAATATGTGGTTAAAAAAATATTCAAAAACACGCATTTTTAGGCCTGTTAATAAAATTAAATAATTTCTGCTCTTTAATATCTACAAAATTCAACTAACATAGTGTCCAATGTGTGCCAAAATTGGACATTTTTGTACAATGTCTGGATATTTATGTATTGACAGTGCTGTAATTTTTCACTTTTTCACTTTTCTTTCTTTTTTTTTTTTTCTTTTTTTTTGTGTGTCCCGTTTGGATCTTTGGCCATCAGAATTGTTGTCTTAAGGCCAAGAAAGATGCCAAGCGGATTTATTTTACCAAGTGGATCATCATGGCCTTGCCATATTGGTCCATTTGATTGACCTTTATTTTAATTATGAATTTATTTTATTTTCAGTTGCTACAAACGGGACAGTTTGGACAGGCAGAAATAATAAGAAAGAGAGGGAGAGAGAGAAAACCAAAGGGGAGAAGAGACGGTGAGAAGGGGGGGAAGAAAGAAAAAAAACAAACAAACAAACACCTGGGTCACCTGTATGGAGAAAAAAAACAGAAGCAAACAACAAAGAGCAACATCATCACAATAAACTAGCTAGCAGTAGATATTAAATAATAAACGATATTGTGCAGCACGCAAGATAGACAGCGCACAATGTGCTTTGAGGCAGCAGCCAAGAAAGCTGTAGTCCGCGTCTGTGAACACCCGTGTGTACACCTGTGTGCATACCTGTGTGGATCAGCATGCTTGTATTCCATTTCACTGTTTTCACTTTAGAAACATAAATCTTTGCACATATGATGTTTATATGTTGGTTACTGAATTTCTGGAATGAAATATGAACGGAGTCACATTTTAAAATGGTTATATGCTACAAAATAAATTAAAAAAAATTAGGTGAGGATAAAATCTACTTACATTTTCTGTGTTCCAGTCTCAGTAACTTTGACACAGTAATATCTGCTGCAATATTTACACCTCTGATGAAATTTTGATACCAAGATTGTATACACAGAGTTTGTAATTGCAGAGAAATACTCAATTGTTGGCATTTTATTTTCGAACAGGAAACTCAGAAAACCCTTTGGGGTCCATCAGGTTAAAGGAAAAAAAACAGACACTCTTGCAAAGGTTCTAGATGTATGGAAGTGGATTTAATTGGATCGGAATTTCAGGAGCAGGACCACACCTCCAAACACGCTCCTTCGGATTCTTATCTATATATGTTCCCCCAGTTCTACAAGCTGTTCATTCTCATTTACATGCCCCAGCCTCCTCCCTCCCCTTTTATATTCTTTAACTTCACTTCTATTTAGTACATGGGGACCCGCTAGGCCTGGAAGCCGCCGTCCCCTTCGAGGCCTTCCCCAAACCGCAACTCAATTCACGTCCAAGCCATTCACCTGTATCTACTAAAACACTGTCACACCTAAAATAAGGCGGTGGGCTCAGCTAGTGACATTATTTTTAGAGGATTTGATCCTGCTAGAGATACCAAAAGTACTTTTAGAAAAGGTCATTTTAGTTAAATGTTTTTATAGATTTTAAAGTAGTCTTTATGCAAGTTTCAGGATTCCAAGTATTAGAGGTTGAGTTTATTTTGGAAATTTTGGTGCGTTTGAGGAGTTTTCAGGAATGAGGGCATTTTAGAGCTGTCAGTACAGGCATGTGAGCTATCTTTACTGGAAGCATTGGATGATGTAGAGGAGGCTCTATCCTTTCTTTTAGAGCTTCTGGAATTAGGTTTACATGATCTGCACTTTTACACAAAGGTCGTGTTCATCAATCAATCTGAGTAAAACTTCAAGTATTAAAATTCAGTACTGACAAATCCAAACCTTTTTGTATACCTCAGTTGTAAAATTAGTATAAATGACTTAAAATTGGTGCAGAAAAAAAGAACTGAGCAAGAGATGTAATTCTTTAACTTTGATTTAGATTAAAAAATATATAATTCAGATGATAAAATATAATTTGAATTTTAATGTAAAATCATTTACATTTACATTCTTATAAACCCAAATTTTCTTCACAACAGAACATAAAAAACATATTAAATGTTTAAACTGAGACTGAGAAGCATGGGATGGGCCAACATAGGAGTGGAGAAGCCAGCAGTACTAAAAGGGAACTGAGATGAATTGATGTGTTTACAACTGAAACACATGACAGGAAGTTGAACTAAAGTCCATTTGAACTGCTCAAAATTCACCTTTGCTTGTGAAGACTAAGTACTAAGTATCTCTCCTTTGCCTCTCTCTAGTCGTTCCAGTCGATCCAGTCTCAATGCCAAATTTGAGGAGACGGTTCCTTTAAACTGTGACCAACCCTACATCACCTCCGCTATCATCAGCATGCCCACGCCACCTGGCACCACCCCTGAAGGTGATGAATCTACCAGCTCCACTGACTACTCCCAGGCCAACATTGTGCGGGTGTCTGCACTTTAGGCCCCAAAAAGACCCTCCCACACTACCACCCACTGCGCTGGAAGACGGCAGGCGTTGGCGGTCTACAGCTTGAACCACACCAGACTCAGAGTAGGCTTTGGTAGCTGCATCATGTGTCCACAATGGAAGTGATGGGTTAGCTTAAATGCTTCAGACCTGCCGTGGAGAAGCAGGTCTACAGGTCACACTAAAACTGACTCTGATTTGGACTGTAGTTGTTTATTGTTCTCTCTTTTTCTTCTGGGAGGATTTTTCCGCTGGCAAAATAGCAGCCGCCTGACTGAAGGTGGATCTCTGCTTCTTGCTGAGAGGACATCACCACCACCAACGTATCTTTGTCCTGAATGGTGGCTTAGCGAGCCAGCACTAAGACACCATTGGATCATTCTGAAATATGTTTAGCACAGAGACTGGCAGCTGGGGTCAACGCTTCACATTCATTATATGTTGAATCCTCTTAGTCAGTTACTAGTCCATTTAGCTGAATTTGACTGTCTGGAGGTGGACTTTAGAGCCAGAAGCTTAATGTGAGCTAACCAGACTTGTGTTTTAATCAAGCTTTAACCTTTTAAATTACCTGCATTACTTTCATATTAGGTCTACCGTACTCCTTTGAAAGATAATGTAGAAAATACATAAAGCATCAGACACAGCGTTTAGTTTAGGCTCAGAGGTCCTCAGCTGATTTGAACTTTATCTCCAATCACTGGAATTCACTTAGCTGGGCTTGCAGTCTTTGTGCTAAGTTAGACTAAACCTGTCCCAGTAGAAACCAGGATGAGACGGATGGTGACGGAGGGTTTATCATCACACTGTCACACTTCTGAACCTGACAGACCCTCTGTGTTTGTAGAAAATGTTCTGAGGACATGTTGAAGGTTGGGACTCGCCATTTGTTTTGCAGTCTTCTGAGTCTCTTTTATAAGTACATATTTGTCCTTGGTGGAGGCTGTTTGTTGCTAAAGACTTCAGCGTTTGTCCTATCATGGGTGGGACAGCAGATATTTACAGCCTGCACCCAGTGATGAAATATATCATGTAATGCATTATTATTATTTTCACGTTATTTTCTTTCAGTCATCATATTTTTTGTTATTATTATTTATTAGTGTTGGTGAATGGGAAAGTTTATCTTGAGGTGTACGTGCTACAACAGGGAAATTATCTTTTTTTTTTTTTAATTTTATTTCATGGATTTTATTTGTTCGATTTTTAATTATCTTTTTATTCTTGTTTTCATTTTTTGAAATAATGATATATTTCCTTTTACCCCACATCAGTAGTTTGTGATCTGCTGGCTACAGCCCTGAACATGTGAGTGCCCCACGGTGTGTTAGCCACAGACAGTGGGCGGGGCTTTTCTTCTGAAAAGATGTGAACGATTTGTATTTGCAGCTGTCATGAAGAAGAAGAGGATGAGGAAAACAGTGAGCATGCTCAGTATCTGTGCGTTCCTGTCCACGGACCCGTGTGTTTCCATGTAAGCCAGGACGCTCCTCTGCATGCACATCTGGCTGGTGGTGTGAGCAGTTCGGGTTCTAGTACTTATTCTGTAAATATGAGTTTTCTAGCTGCCCTTTCTGACTGCCTTCCTCTCTGCTGTACAGAAACACCAAACCGCCATCGTGCAAATGTTGATGTCAATTTGTGATAAGAGAATCTTTCTGTTGTTGCACTGGGTCTGGCAGTGATGTGTATTGTAAATCTTGCAGACTGATTTGATGCACTTGTTGCCTGATGTTTTTTTTTTCTCATTGTTCACCTGAGTGTTGGGTTAGGTGACGGGAAACAGATTTACAGCTCTGACTCTGAGCTGACAGCTGGAACCACAGTTTAAACAGAAAATGGGCAAACCACCAGTTACCCACAAAAACAGCCACAACAGCAAAAAAAGTGCTTTTTTTTTGCTGTTGGTGTTTCCATCAAGAACCTCTGTTTTACTTTTTGGTTAAAGATTTTAACAAATATTATTTATCTAAAGTACAAATTAACAGATCCCATTGTTTGATGTAAAAATGACCAAAAAAGTGATTTTGTAGTATGGAAAGAAGAGCAATGAGTATAAAATCCAGTGTTAGCTGCCTGTGTAGCTTTCACATGCTTATCTCACAGAGACACGTGAAATGATCGAGCTTCTTCAACTCAGCCAAGTAAATTTGTTGCCTGAATCACATTAAATGGAGACTGAAGTAAAAAATTCAACCAAACATCCAGAAGTAATCTATGATCAGTCTTTTGGTCTCCCTCTTCTGAGTGCGGGCATGGTCACACTGACAGCCTGAAAGCTGCATTTCCTGAAATGTCCAGCAGGCAGCAGTGAGTCAGTACCCACAGACTCGCATGTTAAAACTTTACAGCAGAAATAAACATGTTTACAGCCTGATACGCAAACTGTTTGTCTCTGTAGATATTTCCCCCTTCATTATACCTGTATGTGGGGAAAATGTTTTTGTAACTTACCTGATTAAAAAATGCATTAAACAGGTGAGTTATAGACTGTATAATTAGGGGTGTGGTCTCTCTCACTGACATGCAGATGGCCACACACATGTATACTAGGTTTCACCTCAGCTAACTGGAGTCCCTGAACTGGACCTCTGGACAGTGTTTGTGCTGTTGGAGCCTTTTGGAGCATTTTTTATGACATCTTGTGACGAATAACAGGGCTTCTATGAGGTTACTGTACTAACAGACGGTCCAGGAAGGTGGAGCTCCAGTTCTGGTGAAATTCTAGGATTTTATTTGGAATGTTCTGAGAACTACTTAACAGGTATCCGTGTCTGTGTAATGCTCCTCTACTGTCTGTGGATGCAGACTTATCATTAGTTGATAACTTAGAACCAACATAGTAGCCAAATACAATCACTTCTGGAACCAAAAAACAACAACAACATGACAGCAGCTAAAATGCTAGCATGATATGTCAGTCCACTGATGGATGATCTCATACTTTCATGGCAGTGTTTGGGTTTTCTTGTATCGTCACATCAGCAACATCAAAGCTCACATGTGCTGTCAACATAGTTGCAACATCTTTAAGCTTTTAGAAAATTATTTTCACATGTTTCTGTGAGGTGAAGTTGGATTAAGTTTATTTCTCAAAAATGCTGAATCAATAAGAAAAAAAAGGGAGAATAAGAAAACATTTCCTGTCTTATGGAATATTTTTAGAGCACTCCAGATTTTTTTATTTGTCTGTCTCTGTCAATAATAATTTATTGTTATTATCTACTCCAAAAACCTTCAATGTGTGGTTTTAAAGGTTTAAAAAGGGTTTAGGGTTCATTTCATTAATGAGTTCTTAGGTTCAGAGTGGTGTTGATGCTGTCTGCTGGGACCCTGATGAATGTTGAATATCTGCTTGTAGATTTTGGTATACAAAAAAAGTTCTTTGAATCTGTGTGACTCATCATGATGTGCCGTACACACCAAGTCTTAAAGCCTCATCATTGCAGAGGTGAAACACCATCAGTTTGTTCCCGTTTTGATACAAAGAAAACAATTTTCTTACGAAACAAACTGAAACCTCTCATTCTTCTTTGGGGAAATATTTCTCTCTCTGGCTGAATTTTAGGGATGTGTTGAAATGTTGGATTTTTCATTTCTACGCCATGTATGGAATAAAAAAATATATGGAAGTAAGAGCACAGAAGACAACATTTTTCTCTTGCTCCAGAAGTAAAGAGCAGCTGGTATTGGGTTCTTACTGTCAAAGCTTGACTTGTTTGACTCGTCAGAATGAGGATCCAAATGGCCAACCCTGCTTGCAGCACCTTTACAACTTTAGTCATCCATGTCTGCGCAAGTTTAATGTGACTTATGCAAGTGACTTCTCTATGCTTTCCTTTGTTTTGTAAGGACAACCTCTGCTTTGTATTTAGGGTGCAGGGGACGGGCTGAGGGGGAAAGGATGAACATATTTTTGAGGAATTTATTATTATAAGTGTTAATAGTGCACGTGTGTTGTAATTGTTCTGTAATTTCTTATTTTTAAAATTATTTCCATGAGAGTTTGTAGTGTTGTATGTTCAATTAACATCCCATGATATTTTTCTAAAGTTGTTAGAACATGCATGCATTTGGAGCAGAGATGAAGTGATAAAAGAAAGTGTAAAAATTAGAGACATTTATGACAACTATCACTTTTGTTTGTTACAGCTTGTGTTCATCGAAGATAATATCTAAAAGAAAAAGAAGCTCATGGTTTTAGTCCGGTGCCGTGTCTGAGTAAACAGAATAAAAACATTGTCCTATTCAAACACTTCCCAGAGTTTGTACGTCTCTTTTCAGAGGTGGGATTGAGAGATCGAAGTCACCCAAGCTCTCATTATTAAAGAACTTGACATTCAGCCTGTTATGATTAAAGTGATACAGAGTGCTACCTTGATGTGTCTGTGCTAATATTAAAGCTTTTTTAGGTGACACTTTATAATACAACTCGAAACTAAGGGCAAAAGTACCCTGTAATTACATGTAATTTCAACATATTTTTATCTGAAATTTAGAGGAAACAATGAAAAAATTTACACTAAGTAATTTCACATACTTTGTAATTACCTGGTAATTATCCAGAAGAACATACAATATTTACCCTTTCAACACTGTACCTTGTGCGTTCCAAGGTTGGGCCATTTTATGAAGTCATTTAACATTGCCTTACTTCCTGATATTTTACAGGGAATGAAATGCAGACTTTATTTAAAATAATTTTAAATATTATCTAATTAATTTTAAGTACTGTGCAATTCCATGGTAATTTTCTAGAAAAAAAAATTCCATGTATTTCTCAGGGAATGATAATGATAGACCCAAGTTTATTTTTATCTGTTTTTCCTTCACAGACAATGTTCACCAGAAACCATTCAAACTTACTGCCACCTATGCGGACCAAGCTCTTGCAATGCTTGTAGCCCTGATACGGGCTACCACAGCAATCGGCTAGAAACCAAAACAATCACAAGGTTTTCAGTGCAGATTTTCAGTGTCTTCCAGTAGTTCTATAAGGATGGCATACCTGGCTGCTTGGGACAATCTGCCAGGGGAAAACTAATGGCCTATGCTACCTTTGGCTACACTGGCTACAGGGGCCTGGCTAGCTATGTGTTTTTCAAGGGTGTGAAGCCGAGGGTCTAATTCAATGATTTTGGCCTCCAGAGCTGCAAACAAGCTACATTTGTTACACGTATAATTACTGCTAAAGGAGGCCAAGGAGTAAGTAAACATCTGACACAATACGATGGAAAGTGCTGGAGGGCCAGGTAAAGAGGCCGTGCTGCTAGCGAGTCGGCTACAAACTAAGCAAGCTGGCAAATCCCTAAAGGCAGTGCATGAAAATAACCAATGATCTTCTTATGGCAGCTGACTCCAATTTACTTTCCATTCTTATTCTCCTCAATCTGAGTGCTGCTTTCGACACTATTTCTCACTCCATTGTCCTTAGTAGGTTAATCTCCATTGGTCTCTCTCATACTCCACTAGCCTGGTTTAAATCATACTTATCTGATCACAAAGTATTATTATTCGACTTAAATCCTTTACTTTTAAACCCTTTCCTGGGGCCCATTGTTTTCATTATCTACCTTCTTTGTGTGGACACATTTTTCATAAATATAATATTCAGATTCACTGTCATGCTGATGTCACCCAGCTTATCGGTCCACTAAACCTGATTCTGCTCTTCCCCCATCCTCCCTCACCCTCTGTTTAAATGAACTCAACTCATGGTTCTCTTCTTTCTTAACAGTAACAAATCAGAGCTTCTTCTGGTAGGCTCTAAATCAACCTTATCTAGAACTAATAGCTTTTCTATTACTATCAATAACTCACCGGTCTCCGTTTCTCCATGTGTGAAAAGTTTTAGTGTTATCCTCGACAGTACTTTACCTTTTAATTCGCATATCAATAATGTCACTCGGTCTGCATATTTCTAATTGTGTAACATTAATTGTCTCTGAACTTTTCTCACTCCACATGCTACTGCCATTCTTGTTCATAACCTTGTTACTTCTCGGATTGATTACCACAATTCACTCCTTTTCCATCCATAAGCTTCAACGTGTCCAGAACTCCACTGCCCGTATTATAACCAGGACCCCTTCTATTCACCATATCACCCCTGTCCTGCAGCAGCTTCAATGGGTCCCGGTCAAATATTGCATTAATTTTAAAATACTTTTGTATACATTTAAAGCTATTCATCAGCTCTCCCCTCTGATTTGATTCAGATCACCATCCCTTAGATCCTTTCCTTTGCTTTCTCTCTCTGTTCCCTCTCCCCGTCTTGCCGCTATGGGGAGCAGGGCTTTCAGCTGCTCTGCGCCTCGACTTTGGAATTCCCTACTTCCTGATATAAGAAATATCACTTGCTTTTCTCTCTTTAAGTCTAGACTCAAAACTCACCTGTTCAAAATAACTTATCCCACATAGCCTTCTCCATTCCGCTATTTTAAATCTATTTTATCCTTTATGATTTTGTAAACCGCCTGCTTTTATGCTTGCTTTTTATTTCTCTGATGTGTACACTGTCCTTGTGTGTTCTGAAAGGCACGTTCAAATAAAATGTATTATTATTATTATTATTATTTTTATTATTATGAATAAACAGAGAGTATGCTTCAGATACAGCACATGATGATATGAAATAAGGCGTTATCTATTAGTTTTAATTAAATTGGCTTCACACAAACACCTCTGTGTGTTGTAACAGGCACAGGAATTGATACTGTACTGCAGAGAGATCATACACGTCACTACCAAGCACTTACACACACACACCTTTATACACCAAGTGACTTTTTGCACAATACTCAGTCTTTTGCACATTTCTATTGCACTGTTGTGTCTTGTATCTGCACTGTCTTGTGTCTATATTGTTCTCTTCTGTCTGGTGTTGAACTGTCTTTGTTTCGTTTTTTTTTTGTTTGCCATTTTTGCACATTGCAATTTATGTAGTTCTGTGTTGATTGTCTGTTATATGCCATATGTAGCACAACAGTCTTGGAGGAACGTTGTCTCGTTTCACTGTGTACTGTACCAGCACACATGTTTGGAATGACAATAAAGCTACTTGACTTGACTTAAACATTAGCTGATAAACTTGAGAACGGTCAGTAAAATGCATTCAGCTTTGTTGCTATGATTCTTTGGCTGAATGGGTTTAGGCATCTTGGCAGAAACTCTCCAAAAGAATATCATGGCTTTTAAATATAGCTTTGCAGGTCTCACTATAACATTGGTTGGTTTTCAACATACCAACAAGTATTTATAGAAAGTTTCACAACTGTGATAGAACAAGTTATTTGCGAGTTTAAATAAGTGTTATTCTTTTGATCTATGCTGGTGAAAATAGGCTGTGAGTTATTACAGGTGGAATTTAACCTTTTTTTGTTCTGTTGGTGCTTCCTGTTTGCAACAGGAAGAAAAGCTCCCACCTGATCCTGTCAAAATCAACTGATGTATTTATAGAGTAATATAATATTTAATAAAGGCATGTGATACTTTTATCTTTTCAGAGTCACAGGCAATCCAAGTACAAAAGGAGGAGTCTAAATTTGGTACTTCGTTTTTATTCTTACATTTTTGAGCCGTCATAGCTTTAAGAGCAGACATCCATCTGAAGATTTCAGGGCTTAAAACAGATTGAAGTTTACAACTTTAAAATCGCAACAAAATTTATTTTACACTACAAGTGTAAAGACACAATTTGGCCTTTGGTTAACACAATTTTTCCCCTTATAATTACTTCTAAGTGTCAGTATCCTAGAATATATGGCAGTTTAAATAATCTGCATCAATTTAATTAATTTGATACAGAGGAGAAATAAACACTGGTATAATTTAAAGATTAAAATTTTGCATTTCAGTGTAAATTTTGGTTTTCAATAACTCAAACCCAGAGCTTTTGTGTCTCTATTGGAGCAGAAGGATTGGTGTCCCAATGTGTTGGCAAAAAGTATGTAAAAGACAGAGCAGTCCAGATCTACAAATGATGCTCTGATCCAGACGACACACAGGCATGATAGTGTACTGTGAATTGTTTCTGACAGTGGAACTGTTTGGGCAAAGGAGCGCACAGTAACATGCCCTGGCAGACTGTCTCTACATACAAGTTTCTGGAATCTCAGCTTCTCGGGATCATCAGAAAATAACTTATCCTCTCTCAGCATACACCCCATCTTACCATCACTTCCATCTGTAGAGAGAAGAAATAAATAATACCCAAGTCAGTGATTTAGCACATCCAGTATAAAAAGCGAGGCACTGGAACAGCTGTGTAACACAGTTGTCTTCCTCTCGTGCCCTATGTTAACATGTTGGAGTGAACCTGCTAATCCTGAAGCTCATACACTTCAGAGTCTCACTACAGAAACCTTTAGCATGAAGTCTGTTTCCACTGTAGATTTCACTCAATTCCACAGTGAAAATGAAATGCTGAATCCTGAAAGCTTCATTATTGCACAAGCACTTTGTCAGGTATTCACCCTTTGTTCTTTTTTTACGTTCCATTTTTTCCATTTTTCACCACGCCAGGTGTTTAATCATAAACTTCTGTTTTGGCTGTAGGTCCTGGCCTGTATGGGACACCTTGTGGGTCTGGATCTGGACCGCGGTCCGCCTGTTAGTGACCTCTGTTTTATAAGGATGCTATATGTTTGTATCTTCTCTGTCCTGTTAGACCCATGTGGCAAAAATCAGCCTGGTTTAACGTTTTTTCTATTTGACTTAGGGCAGTTATGATATGGCATGTTTGGGTGAAGGAGAATCAGCCTCTGATACACCACATACCTATGAAACATCTCAGTAAAAGTAAGTCAAATAAAAAAAAATTAAGATTATGCTGTCATTTCTGTATGACACTGAAGTACAAAATGCTTCTAGTGGGTAGTGTCATGGTTGAAAGGGAACCTGAGCAGCACTTTATAGGCTAAATCATCATTTAATAGCTGCTCACTTCTGGCTTTCTCAGTGGTTGCGGTGTTTGAAGCACCCAGCTTACATAGACTGGGTTCTTCAAAGAAAGCAACCCTGAATTGAAACGGTACTGCTGAAAGCAATTGGACCGAAACCTCTACCTACTTCAGATCCTCCAGTCTGGAGTGTGGACACTTCACAAGATCAGACAGCTCTTTCATGGCTGAATCCTGCAGGTTGTTTTCCCTTAAGTCCAGATGTTTCAGATGGGACGGGTTGGACTTCAGAGCAGAGACCAAAGCAGCACAGCTGATTTCCGACAAACTGCAGTTACTCAAGCTGCATAAAGAATAAAAGAAGAAACTGTTGTCTTTCTGTCAGTGATCTGAAGAATCAATATCAATGTTTAAACAGTTTTGTGAAGTCAAACACTATTAAATATTAGTAAAGCATTAGCAAGTGCCTAATTCAGTTTTAAAGCATTACTTCTCCTTAATATGTCATTTATAAATACAGATATAAATGTTTACTTTTGATTAATAAGCTTATATATAATGTGCTGGTGTTATCATTTAGAAAGTCTCAATAACTGATTAACAAAGTACACACACACACACACACACACACACACACCATTAGAGTGCTCTAATGTGATGATATGGTAATATAGGGTCGTTAAGATACGATGGAGCCTGCTCATTCTTGCCCTTGTATGTGATGAGAACAATTTTAAATTTAGATTTAACAGGGAGTAAATGAAGAGAAGCCAATATAGGAATAATGTGCTTTCTCTTTAGAAAAGAATTTAAAAATGAAAATTAAAGTACCTTAAGACTCAAACAAGTCTAAGCTATGTCCACAACAGGAAAATGACATAGACAAAGCACAAAGAGATACAGAACATAGAAATATTTATTCTCAGCTGCAAACATTTGTGTGTGTGTGCATGCATCTAAATACTTTGTTAATCGCTTATGATACCATGAACATGTTATATATAAGTTCATTAATCAAGAATAACATTTATGTTTTATGTGTTTATAAAATACATCCTAAGGAGAACTAATGCTTTATAAATGATGAGTTAAGCTCTGAGATGTCTGCTGTTCCCGTCAGTGGCCTCATTTAATAATATTTGCTTGGAAATGTTGGGAATGTTTTAACCTGCTGAAGAAGTTTGTTACCATGCAAAATTACTGTTGGATCATTGAAACCTGTGTATTGGCCTGTTTTGTTCTTGGCACATTTGCATATTGGGAAATTTTGATTTCATTCAATTCAATTTAATTAATTTTTTCCTTTGAAGAGTGGTCATTCCCTTAGTGATTGTATGGAGGCATGTGACACACGACACAGGAGCTCTGGTTTTACATTCCAACTTTTTTCACCTCCAAACATGAACTGAGCATATTGCGCCCAAACACAGCAGAATCCTTCCTCTCAGCTTGGGTGTAAGTGGAGTCCTCTAGTCGGTCACCAAAATTGCATTTTATTTTCTTTACATTCCTTTTATTTTTCATTTAATGGCATATGGTGTTTTGGAAAATAGTAAACAATGACCAAAGGGAATAAAAATAATAATTGTAATCATTGTTGTTATTATTAGTAACAGTAGTGATGGCTCGTTCATCATGTTTACATTGAAAAAGCAGTAAGGCTGTCATTTGTTCATATGCAAGGTCAGGGGGACTATTTTCCTAAAGAACAAACCAATTAAACTATGAAAATATTGATAAATTAAAGATTTGTGCATGAAACATTCGTATCCATGTTTGTTCACTGTGTGGCAGGGAGATTTAGGCCCCAATAAGCATGACTCCAGAGACAACAAGCAAACTCAAAAGACAGGTCAATTGCTGGAACTCATAGAAAACCAAAACCAAAACTAGAGACTAAAGGGACCCAACAGAAAACAGGAATACACAGCTTGTGGGAGAATGAAAGAAGGATCTGAGGAAAACTGGGTGTTTAAATAAACACAAGACATAGTTAGCGAGAAAGGACACAGCTGGGGAAAATAAGACACAGGTGAACAGAATCTAAATGATGAGACAAGGGGAAGCAAAACTGAACACAAAGTACATGTGATGAGGGACTCACAAAATAAGACAAGAAATAAGAAAACACAGGAACAGAAAGAGAAAGACAGAAAGGGAAAACAAATATGAAGACAAAACTGACTTCACACCGAAGATGCTAAGGACAAAACACAAAGATAAAACTAGGAGAGATTACACACGAAAGGAAACTATTATAATCAAACAAGGAAATAAGAGCTAGAAACATGGAAAACAGAATTCAGAAGGAGAGGAAAATAATACTATACCCAAAAGACTAAACAATATACTCCTAGAATAGAAACAACTTCATATTAATCATAAATTCTAAGAGAATGCTAACAGGCAACTGACCTCAGCGTCTCCACTTTACAGTGTGGACTCTCCAAAAAAACACAAATGTGTTTCACTCCTAAATCCTGCACATCATTTTTGCTCAGGTCCAGATTTCTCAGATGGGATGGGTTGGACTTTAGAGCAGAGACCAGAGCAGCACATGCAGTCTCTGTCAACCTGCAGCACTTCAGTCTGAATAAAGAATAACAAAATTTCCTTAATCACAATATTTTGCAATAATTTGAGACAAATCACTTTTAGCACTACGTAAAAGAGCCAGCAATAATAACTGAGTTACTGGGGGATGTGAAAGCTTTTAAAGTCGTATCTGGCATCAATCAGTGCCTCTTGTCACCAAAAAGCACTGATTGGGTGCCTCTCACTGCAGTGGAATAAATACACGTGTTCATAGCAGAAACCAGATATGCTCCAGGTGGAGGAGTTGGGACTCCCAGTGGTTGAGATCTGGCTAGTGGCTGCGCATTATGTGTGGCAATACCTGCAGCAGCTATATGATTGTTTTGAAAGTCTGATGACCAGCAGTGTCAATATCTATAATCCTTTTTTCTAAGATCTACACAGTTAATGTGCACAGAGGCCCGCTCTCTCCAAAATACAAAATCTGTGGGTCTCTCTCTCTCTGTTATTAAAAATAATTCTATAACCAGTACATGCAGTAGTAGCAGGATATAATTCACTACAAAAATAAAATAGACGGAATAAAAGTTTTCTCAGTAAAGGTCAATGTAAGTAGCTCATTCAACACAGTTCTACTATAAAACTACAGAAGAATAGTAGCAGCAAAAGTTTTACCAATATATATCTAATAAAATTGTTACTTGTGTTTAGTTCCTCTACAACGAAGGATTCAAGTACAGCAAAATATAAAGATTTGGCAAAGGTAAGAACAGTTTTAACTGACCAAAACATGTCGGTGATGCTTTAGAAATGCATTAAACAAGTTAGCGTCTACCTAAACACGACTGCACACTGTGACAAAGTGTTCTCCTTCTTTGGACTATTGCTTAACCTTGAAGGGCACTGAAACACTACACATATATAGGCTAATTTACACCATTGAGCCCTGCATTCAAAAGGTGACATAAATGTGACACTGTCTGTGAAGCTGGATTTAAGAGTGCTTAAATTTAAAGTGCTCGAAACATATTTAGCGCCATCTTCAGTCAGTACAGAATGTTACATTACTGGGTTGGTTAGTTGGTTGAGGCTAACAGACTTAGACTAATTTATGTTATAATGGGATTATTTAATAGTTCCAGCAACTTTAATATCCTAGAAAGAAAAGTTTAACTGAACAGACCTCAAAGTCTCCAGTCTACAGTGTGGACTCTCCAGACCAGCAAGCAATGGTTTCATTGCTGAATGCTGCAAAGAGTTGTTTCCACTCAAAATATGCAGGGGTGTGAAGCTCAGGTCCAGCTCTGTCAGATGGGAGGGGTTGGACATCAGAGCTGAGCCCAAAATTTCAAAGTGAGTCTCTGAGAGCCAAGCTTTACAAAGTCTGTGATGTAGAGGAGAAAACATGTTATTATAAAGAAGACACTTTAGATTACTCCCTAAATTTAATAAGAAGCAGTTTCTGTTTGGCATTTTGCTTTATGACACTAGTGGTTCAGCTAACCTGATCTGACTGACATTAAACAATAGTTCGCCAGATGTTTCTTGGGCAGCCTCTCTTTCGCTTGCTTTGGGGGTTCCAGCCTGCTTTATGATGTTGGTTGGAGGTTTGCGTAGAGTGTGCCCTACCCAGCCTAGGAGAGAGATTTCCCATTCATTCCTAATCTGCATATGAATGGGATAAGCACTCACCCACTGCTTCAGCTTCAAATCCACAATTGAAACATTTAGAATCTGTTGTTGCGTGGTATAGGAATAAAACTAATAACTCAACAGTATCAGACCTGAACTTCATTAAATATAAACATAATGAAATATTTCAATGTGGATGACATATGACTGTGCTTACTTCCTTAAATAATGCTTCCCAGCATTATTTTTAACTTCTGAAAAATTTGTTCAGCACAAACACAATTAATAATTCAGTAGGGCTGAATATTTTTCAACATAATGTAATCAGAAAGATGTTGTTAGATCATGAACTACTGATCTCACATGATCAGTAGTTCATGGTGTCTCATGTTGGTTCTTACAAGTTTTATAAAAATATTGCTCTTGAGCTGATTTTACTGAATAACTTTACTGATTTCATTTATATTACTGAAACCAAATAACTGCGACACTCAGTAACGGCTTCAAAAATTTTAAGCTACTGACAAAATGAAATAATTAGAATAATCTTTCATTATAAATAAATATTTTCACAGTTTTTGAATCAGCTCCAGATGTGTGAGAAGATCAAACTGAAATGTAATGTATGGGAAGTAAGAAGAAAAGTGTAAAAGTATAAGAATAACATTGGGAATATTGTAGTGAGAATATCTGATAAACTATACAACTAATGTAAACTGATTTACAATCACATCTGGACTCACAGAGCCTTTCTGCTGTTTCTCACAGCTGGAATCAGTCTTAAATGTCCCTCCTTTGTTGTGTTGTACTTCTCCAGGTCCAACTCATCCAGAACCTCATCTGACATCTGCAGAATGTAGGCCAGAGCTGAGCAGTGAATCTCAGAGAGGTTCTCTGATCTGTTCTCAGACTTCAGGAACTTTTGGATTTCTTGATATACTAAGACGTCGTTCATCTCTATCAGACAGTGGAAGATGTTGATGCTTCTGTCAGGAGAAACATTAAGTATGTTCATCTTCTTCAAGTTAATGATGATTAGCTCAATGTGTTCTGGAATATTGTCTGTCTGACCCATTAGGCCTTTTAAAAGTTGTTGGTTGGACTCCAAACACAGGCCATGAAGGAAGCGAACAAACAGGTCCAGGTGGCCAGTTTCACTTTTAAGAGATTTCTCCATGATTCTATTCAAAAAGACATCCAAAGATGAGATGTCTTTTTCCTGGAAGTCCTGCAGCACCTCTGTCTTTTTGTTGTTGTAACAGTGGAACATGTAGACAGCAGCCAGAAACTCCTGGATGCTGAGATGAACAAAGCAAAAGACTGGTTTCTGGAAGATCACACACTCTCTTTTGAAGATCTCTGTACAAACTCCTGAGTACACTGAGGCCTCTGTGACACTCAGACCACACTGCTCCAGGTCTTCTTGGTAGTACAGGATGTTTCCTTTCTCCATTTGTTCAAAGGCCAGCCTCCCGAGCTTCAGGAGAACTTCCCTGTCAGCCTCCATCAGCTCCTGTGGACTTGTCTCACGTCCCTCGAGGTACTTGTTCTTCTTCCTCTTTGTCTGGACCAGCAGGAAATGTGAGTACATGTCAGTCAGGGTCTTGGGCAGCTCTCCCCTCTGCTCTGTAGTCAACATGTGCTCCAGAACTGCAGCAGTGATCCAGCAGAAGACTGGGATTGTACACATAATGTGGAGGCTCCTGGATGTCTTCATGTGGGAGATGATTCTGCTGGACAGCTCTTCATCATTGAATCTCCTTCTGAAGTACTCCTCCTTCTGGGCGTCAGTGAAGCCTCGTACTTCTGTCATCCTGTCAATATAATCAGGAGGGATCTGATTGGCTGCTGCAGGTCGAGAAGTTATCCATATGAGAGCAGAGGGAAGCAGATTCCCCTCGATGAGATTTGTCAGCAGGAAACTGACTGATGACTGCTGTGTGACATTAGACACAAGCTTTCTGTTGATGAAATCCAATGAAAGTCTGCTTTCATCCAGGCCGTCAAATATGAACAAAAGTTTACAGACAGCGAGCTTCTCTGCTGTGACCTTCTGTAATGCTGGATGGAAAACATGGAGCAGCTCTAGAAGACTGTACTGCTCATCTCTGATCAGGTTCAGCTCCCTGAATGAAAGCAGAATCACCACACTGATGTCTTGGTTCTCCAAACCCTCTGACCAGTCCAGAGTGAACTTCTGCACTAAGAAGGTTTTTCCAATGCCAGCTACGCCATTTGTCAGAACCACTCTAATTGGTCTCTGTTGGTCACATACGGCTTCAAAAATGTCTTGGCATCTGATTGGAGTGTCATCAAGAGTCTTCTTTTTGGAAGCTATCTCCAGCTGCCTCTCCTCATGTTGGTTATGAATCTCTTCACACTGTCCCTTTGTGATGTAGAGCTCAGTGTAGATGTTGTTGAGAAGAATTCCATTTCGTTTTTCATCAGTTCCTTCACTCACATGTTCATATCTCCTCTTCAAACTGATCTTATGTTCATCTAAAACCTCCTGCAAACCTGCAATTGCTGGAAAAGAGAAAAAAAAAACTGAAACTAAAGAACATAAAAATATCTCTAATACTTAAACAAATCAACAAGAAATCCAGCTTTCAGAAATTAGTCCAACAGCACACAGAGGTTCAGACTTACTTTGTTCACAGCTACTCTGACTGGTAGTCTGGAGTCGAGCTCTGATACTGGATTTTTCTCCACAATGGGGACAGGGGGAGTCTCCCGATGAAGCAGCCTGGTCCCAGTATGAGGTGAAGCACTGTCTGCAGAACCAGTGTCCACAGCTGGTAGAGACTGGATCCTTCAGGACATCCTGACACAAAATACAGCAGCACAGCTGCTCCTCCACACAAGCATGACTTCCCTTCTCTCTGTGAATGACAATGAAAATTTATTTTGACCAATACAAACCACTGGCATAAAAGAAATACTAAGGTTTAAAACCAGCACTGGCTTCTACAAAAAAAAAAACAACTTTGGCATGTTTATAGTTCTGAGCACCTAGTAGTCTCTCCTTCAGCATCTTTTAATTCTGGTCTATTTTGACTCCAAACAAAATTACTTTATTGTATTTTATTTTCTTGAAATCATTTTTGTACCAAAAAAATAAATTCCAGAATCTGAGAAGGCTTAACATCTTAAAGATTTTAAACTGTAACCAGTAACACCACTGTTTCATGGGATTATTAATTGAAAATTTCTGTCAGGGTTATTGATGTGGCAGGCAGGATGTGGACCCAAGTGTAGGACTCAAGGCACACATGGGGATAAACTCAAAGAGGCTGCTTTATTTGCTGTAAACATCCAAGCGACAAAAATACAAAACTTAACCTAAATGGGAAAGAAAAACTAGGGAGCTTGAAAAACACTAAACAGAGAAATTTGGAGCCAGGAGTTAACTAGAATGATTAACACAGGAGTAAAACAGAGAAACATACAACAACGAACAGAGCAAAACACAAGGCCTAAATAAAACAAGGTCAAAATGAGGGAATGGGAAACAGGAGGGAAATACAGCTGGGCTAATCTTACATAACAAGTTACGGAGGAAGAAAAACTGAATACACTGAACACAGGACAAGGAACTATCAAAGTAAAAAGAGAAACACACAGACCAAAACTCAGACTTAAGACCGAAGCTTAACAAAGTGACTGGGGAGACAGGGAATACAGAGACAAGAGTGACTAGATGAAACACTGGACAAAGGAAAGGCACAGAGTAGACAGGAACAGAGACTATGCACAGGTGAGATAAACACTAAGGGACGGAAAACTAAGATCACGGAGAACTTAAGAAATAAAGAAAACCAAAATCATGAATAACAATAATCAAAGAATACTAAACCAAAAATGCAAACACTGGGTCACCAGACCCAGGATTGGGACAGTTACACCTGACAATTTCTGAATTTATCGAATCGACCATCATCTGTCCACTAATAGTTGCCCTTCATGAAAACATTGGAATTTCTTTTTGAGTGTTTGAAGCTAAAATTAAGCGTTACAATGACCATCACCGGTGCAGCTGACAGTTATCAAGTGGTGGGTATATCACTATTCACTAACTTTTTTTTTTTTTCTTTCAAAGCGTGTGTATGAGAGAAATTTTAATATTGTATGCCTGGAGTAGATTTTAGTAGTTTTTGCTGTATGACTGCGAGCATTGAGCCTAGTCCTATTATTCTTTCGTGATTTTTTATTTTCTTGTTTTGTTTTTATTTTTGTGTCTTTTTCACGCTACTTTTGTTTTACAGCACCTTGGGCGTATTTTCAAACTTTTGCCGCCTTTTGGTGAGTTTGTTTAAACACATAATTATATTTCATAATTATATTTCCTCAAGGTTAAACTCTTCTGGATGTCATTGTCTCAAATTTAATCATAACTCCTCTGACCACCACACCACAAGTGAGACATTTCTTCTTTTGCATGTTACCGGTTTTGGGCACTGACCTGTAACTCTGTCAGGGTTGGTTTTATGGGGCTGAATCCTGTTATTCTGGCACCGGGAACACACTGTGGCACAGTGTTTAGGACTGTTGCCTCACAGCAAGAACTGTGTTCAATTCCACCATCAGGCTGGGATGTATGGAGTTTGCATGCTCTCCCAAAGACATACAGTTCGTCTTGTTTTCATGATAGAGCTTTAACCTAAATGTGTAGAGACCTGCTGCCGTCTGGTCAGCGCCTCAGGTCAATCAGGTACCACACCTCCAGACTCACAGTTTCTTCCCTTGAGACAATGTTAAGACTGAGTGTCGAAGAGAGAGGTGAGGCCCTACTTTCACACTCTGTGGGCAGTATCTGAGGAAGTCCTTAAACCACATACAGATGTGGATTAATATGTGGGAGGCCAAGGTTAATTAGTTCTGCTATCAGTCTTTTAGTGATGATTGTTGAATGCCGAGCTGAAGTGTATAAAAAGAAACTTGGTATAACTGTGCTTGAAGCCAATATAGGAGAAATATGTTCTCTCTTTCTAGTCCGTGCCAATACTTTCACTACAGCCTTTTGGATTAACCGAAGACTTTTCCAGGAGTTTTTAGGACAGCCCAGTAATAATGAGTTACAATAGTCCAGCCTACATGTAATAAATGCATAAACTAGTTTTTCATCATCACTCTGAGACAGGACGTTTCTAATTTTAGAGATACTGTGCAAATCGAGGAAAGCAGTCCTACAAATTTGTAAACTTAAAGACATATTTTGAACAAAAATGACTTTGTTCAGATTTTCCAGTGTTAGGGAAGCCCAGGCAATGACATTAAAAGATGATATCTTTACCTATTTCTAAATCTTTTAGGGCCAAGTACAGTAACCCTAGTTTAATCTGAATTTAGAAACATTAAATTAGAGGTGATCCAAATTTTTATGTCTGTGTCTGGATCGATGTATTGGCATGGAGAACAACTCAGTATTAGTATCTTGCCCAAGGATATTTGCCATCCAGACTGAAGCAGCAGAGATTGATCCACCAACCTTCCAAATAGCAGGTGATTTCTGCTACCTTCTGAGCTACAGCTGCCAACGTGTTATAGCTCAGTAGCAAGTCCTAAGTATTTACCACTAATGTTGTGTTGATTTCATGTTAAACAATTACGTTTTTCCTGTCAAAAGTGATTGTTCCATTACATTTCCTGTAATGTAACAATAGATATATTTCATTACTTGTGTAAGATTTTTATATCAACTTTACTTCTTCTGAACATTACAATTTTTGAATATCTGTTTGTTACATGATTTTATCTGATGAAACAAAGTATTCTGTTTATCACAGGCTACTTTAGGGCAGAGTTTACAAGGACATTTATTTTGAAACATCTAAACTTTTATAGAGTCACACAAAGTAACACCTTGCTTATGGTTCTGAGACCTTTTTTGGACTTGTTATTCATTCTTCAGAATTATGAGATACTTATGTTCATGTGATGTTCAGGTTTTGAAAGCCTCAGAGTTTTGTTGCTTATGTTTCCAGGTTTTGGTTGTTGTTTGTTTTCATGTCTGTTCCCTGTTTTTGCTGTCCACTCTGTCTCTGTGTTTTGTCCTTTTGTCGTCTCAGTCTCTAATGTCTCCATCTCTGTTTACTGTCCCGTCCCAGTGTCAAGCTTATGTCTGTTTCTTAGTTTGCATTACTTCCTGTTTTATTTTGTTCAACGCCTGTCTCACATATGTTCAGATTTGCTTCCACTGTCTCATAACTCCGATTATTTCCTGTGTTCCCTGGTGTATTCCATCACATCACTTATTACCTCATGTGTATTTAAGCCCTTGGTTTTCTTCAATTGGTGATCCCCCCCCTCATATTACTGTATGTGTTCTCTCATCTATCTGGCAGTGTCGGTTTTCAGTCAGTTTGCTCCAGTTTAAATGCCTTATGTGTTGACATATTTGCCTTGGCCAGCTAATAAAGCTGCGTATGGTTCACTCTGCCTTCCATACAACCATCCCATGACAAGTTTTTGTTATTTCAAATGCAAAACAGCTAAAAATAGTTTTGCATGTACATTTATCCTATGTATGAATTTTACATCCTCAAGCATAATTTCTTGTTTTAGGATGAGCTACTAATGATTATACAGCAATCCTCTGTTATCCTATATTATGGAAAATAACCTTCTCCAGAGTAGATTCAGCCCAATTAACTTACTCAATTCTTACAAATGCTTCTGAAATAATATAAAAAGACTGAAACAACCCAAATCATATTCAGCTCAATCCACAGTAGAAGCAGTCTCTTACATTGTGTCTGAGGGTCCAGGTTCATGACTGAAGACTGGAGGAAAATCTTTGGAATGGTCACTCTTCATAGACAGACAGCTGGGTGCTGGGGACTCTGCCCTGATCTCCTTTTCCTCCAAACTACTCATCTTCAGTCAGCCTGAGAGCAAAACCAGCAATACTGACTGCAATGGAAATAAAAGCATCATAGCAATCGTGTTTACACAACAGCCAAAGTGGCAGAACAGGAAATATAACAAACTCTTGTTATGATCCAGTGATGTGTTTGTTTTGTGTTACTCCTCCCACCAGAGGATGGCTGTGGGAATCTTTCCCCTTTTCTCTCCTAGGAGGTGGACACCTGGGCGTGGCTGCTAGGTATCTGGGTGGAATCTCTGCCTATCCTCGGATTGGATAATTGATGGATCACCTCCAGTACTTAACTACCGGATGACAGCCACCTGGCCCCTCTCCCCGAACCGCCACCACTTAACCAAGAACCTGTTTGTTGATTTATTGCAGTGTAGAGTTTTTGTGTGTATGTCTGACGTTATTATGTCCATTTTGTAAATAGCTGTAAATAGATTTGTCAAGTAGCGATCGTACGCTTTGTTCACTTTGTATATATCCTTCACTGCAGCAGCGTAGTAGGCGTGAGAAGCCATTTTTGTTGAATAAGTTTTCTCCTGTTTTTTCATTAGAAAGCTAGGTAAGTGAATTGTCTTT